TCCTTATATGGTGCTAAGCACTTATGAAGAATAAAGCAAGTATGGAATAAGGGAAAAACATTCGGCAACATCAGAAGCAGAAGCGTCGTGATCTGGCAACATTTAAACAAGTTTCGAGAAGGACCACGTGTATCGACAGAAGGCGAGAAGAGAAAATTTACTAATAGTTCACGAAAATTATTATTATCGTGAACTATTATTACTTAAGTATGTAAAAATTTATTACATTTCCTGTTGTACGAGGGTTTTACCCAATTGTCGAACCGTGTCAGAGTGAATCCGTGCTATAGAAGTGCCGTGTTATACAGGGGTTACCTGTACGTTCTGCAACCTCCAAAATCATATTAAAATCTTATTATAAAAATTTACAATAATATTTTGTATTATGTTTTATTTAAAAAACGAAAATTACCTTTTAATTATACTTTCTATTTGCAAAATTTTCTCAACCTAAACACAAAATAAGAAAAAAGTGAACTTTTAAGAAATTTGCGGGATTTTCCGGATTAAAAAAAACAACCGGGATCCCGGGATCAGACAAAGTAATAAAATAAAAACAGAATTCAAATTACACGATTTTCTATATAAGGACTCGATACTATTTTACAAACAAATTTTTCTTGCTGTTTCTGTATTTCTAATGAAAGGGATTTTTTTTATTTGTATGAAGGATTTTTTTACATACGCGAGAGAAATTTTTTTCCTACAATCTGGCAACACTATCTTTCCATAAACAAAAATGGCTGATCGTAGAGATTTGCCGGAAAGACTTACCGCTAAAGATCCGACGTAAGATTATTATTTATTATTTTCGAAAAGTAGATTTATAAGCACGGATACACACTCATATAGTCATATTTATTTATAATATTTTGATAATAGAGCTTTTGCATATTTTATTTTTTAATATAGAAGTTTTGCATATGTAACTACGAAAGATCGTCTGCCAGTGATTTTGACTCAGGTGGTTGATTATTTGTGTCAAGAAAAAAATGAAATTGCCAAGAAATATGGAGAGGTATGATTCAAATATATTCACACACCTATATAAGTTTTTATGAAAAATCGGTTAGTATAGTTTTAACGACGACTAATGTAACATAACAGCCGCATAATTGGAAAATACTGTATGCACAATATTACGCGTATCATTATGACGTGCAGATTAGATGATAAAAACAATAGCGAGATAATATAGTTTACGTTGGTAAAATAAAAAGAAGTGTTTTCAGTAATATTTAACTGCTTGTCAATTATTGAACCCTTTTAAAATCGTCACATAAATAATTAATATTATTATTCTATCTTTTTGCCAATGTAAAGTATTAAAAACGTATTTTTAATAAAAAGAGCTAAAGTAATAATAATATCTTATCTGTTTAGTTTTAGTTTGGATTTGTGCTGTTCACGTAGTTGTCTATTATGCTTTGTTTATATTGTCTTGGTTGTTTGTTTCTTATAATAATACTCTTATATTATCAGATACAACTATAAGAAGTGAATTTACTTCCCTTAAATGAAACAACTTTTGTACCTAGACCTATAGTATTTTTCTGTTTATTGTTTTAGTATTAATCCTACTCTACCATTATTTTAAAATAAAAATTAGACTTATAAATATAAACATTTTAACTACCCAATACGTAACAATAAGACACCTCCAATTGCCATATATCATTGGTCAATTGGAGGTGTATCTAATCGTATCACCTCCCTTCAGGGTCAAATTCATTAGTAATTTATAATTGTTATTACCAAATTATAGCCTGGTGGTATTTGGCAATTGGAGGTGTGTTATGAATTAGGCTTATTTTATGAGATACTGGCTGCTGTTCAGATGTACACATAAGTGAGCTTATCGATGATAAAACATTAAAAGAAAGTCACAATTGTCATGAAATATGTCCATGACCCCTCACTGATTTCATCTCCTCTACAAACTCCCAAATCATTTGATCTATCTAGACCAAATTTTGCATAGTTACTCTCTACAATTCTTCAAAAAATATATGCTACTTTAAAACTTGGACCCTCATTCCTTCCTCTGATTTCATTCCCCACAAATTGCAAAACTCCTTTGACTGATTTTCACCAAATTTTGCATAGTTACTTTCTGCCATCCTGCAGGAAACAAACTTTATCTTATAACGAGGACAACTCAATCATCTCCCTGACTTCATGGACAGCACTGCGCATTCTTTGCTAGTGTCTTATAAAGTGAATTTTTTCATAATATAGCAAGATCACATTTCCACAAATTTGATAATAAATACAAGGTGAACCATATTTAAGTTCTTATTTTATTTTAAAGCAATTGTGTTGAAATTGGTGCACATTAAATTACATGATATTACAAAACATATCCCAGTGAAGGACTTCAAATAGGTGAATTAATAGAATTGTGCCTGGCAAGTGAATGCACATGGAGGTAAAGCTAATCTTCCTCAGTGAAATGATATCAATGAGATTTACCAAAATTAGTGTCCTATGTCTGCTGGTGGTGATAACTGTGCTTTTTAAGATGTCCTGACCGGAATTGTCTTTCCGGACATGAGGCAACAGGATTTGCTCAGTAATGAGGTTTTCCTTCAATTGAATGAAGTCTCCATTTCATTGGGTATGAATGTTTTGTGTAACTCTGGATAGCTTCTCTTGATACTGGATTGGACTTGGTAGTGATATCCCTTAGTCTCTGAGATCACCTGATTTTACTCTCCTGGATTTCTTCCTCTGGGGTTTTGTGAAGGACACAGTTATGCAACTGAACAGGTTCAACTGATGGTTAAACTGATTTAAATTAGTTATCATTAATCTAGTCAAATTATCAAATATTTAATCATATACAAAGAAATAGCCTATAACTGAGTAGCCCTTAGGCAACATAAAAGTAAACTCATCCAATTCATTGCTACAGATAGCACATTTACAATGTTTAAATTATTCTTAGTAGTATCTGTAATAATTTTTTTCCAGGTGTGTTTAATACTTGTTCTTTTTCAATTCCTTATTTTACTGAATTCAGTCTTCTATAATCCAGAATTTGTTCACTTCCTATGCAAGAGTTAGTTGCCAAAAATTATTCAATAAGGTAATATTCAGCTGTATTGTTCAATAATTTGCTCCAATTTAATAGATTCCTGATCATTACTCTTAGGTGGTCTCAAATAAATTAAAGGATTACCATTAGAATCTTCTGAAAACTCTTTATCTGCATTTCCAAAGCCACCAAAATAAATAATCTTCCATAAGGCTAATACCATTATATTTTTAATTTGTAAAGATTTCATTTCCTTTCAAATTTTTCTATACAAGTTACTGAGTGTGTAAATATGTAACATCTAATTTTTCAATATTCAGAAATAACCTAACATTTAAGGCATTATATAAACCAAAAAATGAAAATCAGGATCAGTCAGTGCCAGGCCTGGACTTTTAAATGGGCAAACACGAATTAATTTGTTCAAAAAGAAATACCGATAAGTGTAAAAAAATTCAAAAAATAACAACTAGATTTATTATTCTAAGAATGACTGTACAATTGTTAATAAAAAAAATTTCAAAAAGCATTAGGAAACAAGAACTAGACAAGTTATAAAATTCAATGAAAAGTTATCTAATTCAAAACCAAAACAATNCTCGGGTATCGCCAAGGTTTTTGGCAAAATTTGATGTAATACCGCTGCTCGCGTTGTTCAGTCATTTTTCAGCTTAGTGGAATCCGACGAGAGCGCTCTACATGACCTCACTCATAGGCCGATTGCCAACGACTGACGCTTCCTGCAGGCGGGAAAAAATTCAGAGATGTGCATGACTGTCCCCTCCACAACTCCACCAAAGGAGGCCTCTCGCGCATCATTGGTTTACGCGGAAAAAAATAAGGTCCGATACTTTTTGAACAGACCTTGTAGATTATTTACAAAATTACAAAAAGATCTTACAATCTACACCTACCTAACCAACAAGCCAAAGAAAAATGTCTGGATCATTTAATCCTTATTTGCCAATTGCACTTAATCAAGAACTTCACCTCTTACTTACAGTAGCTTCACCTCTCACTCACTATAGCTTTACCTTGCTTTTCTTCAGTCTTGTCAGGACTTTTATACTCCCTGGTGTGACATAATAACAGCTGTACCACTCCAACTCATTTCCATATTTGTTATTTTTCTTTCACAATATTCCAAACATATTTGTCTTTACTAATCTTTTCAATAAAATCTGACTTTTAAAACCAGTTACAATCAGGATTAAGAGACCATTCTTTAATTCCAATTTGGAAATCACTCAATCCAAGATACTGTGGTAGATTGGCAACATAGACAGGTGTCAGTCATGATAAGAGTTTATTATTTTTTGAATTTAGACTTTTTTTTCATAGGTTGGATGTGGAGCTTTGTCCTTTAACTAAAACATCCCCAAAATAAATAATAAGAACTAAATAAAAATCTGGAAAATAAAAGTAAAATTCAAACTCAACTCCTTACAAATAGCCATGATTCTACTATTCTCATGATTTGCATATTAACTTTTAATTTTTTCATTTTAATATGTTCATTTTTTGTCTTTAGACCCTGTTTATTCTACAATAATATATTAATTACCTGTTCTTTATTATGTACTCAGTTAAAAATTTATTGTCTAAAAATGATGTTTTTACTAGCTTGTTTAAAGTGAAGGAATAAGTAATTTTAGTAGTGTCTTCAATAATATAATTGTCTTAAAATATAACTTTTTGTTTGGCTTTTTTCAAGTACTGAATAACAGACGTTAATTTTCTTTTGTTTTTTCTTAACTGTTAAGCAACCCATAATTTGTATATTCAATATTTTTCACAATTTTCATTTCTTCTATTAAACTTAGTGAATATTTCTATTATTTTTCTACATTTGCCAAAGTAATTTTTTATAATTTTAGTATTTAACTTTTTTAGTTGAGTAATATCTAAAATTTTGTTTTCAGAACAATTCTTTATTTTTAATTCTGGATTAAAATTGGATTAATTTTGGATATAATTATTTCATTTCATTTAAATTGTAACATGTAATTTAATTGTAGAGAGCTGTAATTTTATCTGCACATTGTCATCTAGTTATTAAATTCTGCTATTTAAATTTTGAATTTGTTGATTGTCTATATGTATTTTTATTAAATCCTGTCTCAATTTTTGAATCAAATTTATTAAGCATTTGTATGACTGATTTATCACAGCTCTTAATATATTTTCTTTAAAGATGATCATTATTCCTATTAATTTCAAAACTTGTAGCAAAATTTAACTCATCAATCATTCCTTTCTGTTCAAGAGTAATATTTTGTTTACAGTAGTATCAAAGGAATAAATTTTGATGAATTATCATTATTAGTATTTTCAGATCCTTTCTGAGATTTAAACATTACCTCTAAATCTAAATCCTTAGCATTCATTTCATATTTTTTTGATTTACTTAATGGAGGCTTCCTTCTCTTAGTAAGTGATCTTTGAAGAGACCTGGATTAGGTTTTTATCCCAGACATCAATAACTAAGTTCTTAAGATTCTGTTCAGAATTTAAAAGCTCAACTATTTTAAGCATATGTTGTAATTCTTATTAAATTGAGCCTTTGTAAAACACAACTCATTTCCACAGCAAAAATGTTTCCTTACTTATCAAGTAAAATTCAGGCCAATACCATAAACACTGCAACACTTTCTCACCTTACTATATCATAATAAAATTGTTAGGCAGATATATAAATTATTTAATTAGTTTTTAAAATATTTGTTAAAGTAAAAACTTTTAAAATACTTTAAAATTTAAAATAAAATACATCATTAATAATATAAATTTGTATGTTAAATTTAGGAATCAAGAGAAGAATTAAAACAAATAATCGGATATCTGTCAAAACTTCGTTATGAAATACAAACAAATAAACAGCTAATTATGTTACAAACAAATGAAAATGATGCTCAAATTTGGAATGAATATTTATCTAAAGAAATGTTAAGGTTAAACAGACCACCTCAGTGGTTTGAGGATGAATGGCTATATACAGAAAATTATATGTATCGAAAGATAAGAGAAGCATTTGAATTAAGGCAAGTTATGAATTTAATTTATATAAACATATATTTGTAAATGATTTTTATCTCTTTGTTGTATTAAAATACAGTAAAACTTTGGTTATACATTTTTGAGAGAGATCATCTGAAAAAAAATGTATAACTGAAAACTGCCTTTCTTTATGGATGAGTCAGACTAATGAATCTGCATTTAAGAGACACTATATTATTCATATGAATGATATAGTGTTGCAGCTGAATGCTGAGTTTAAATGTCTTTGAATATAATACTAAATATAATTGTTACTAATGTTTGTTTATAATTTATTTGGGAAGAGGATTAGATAAAAATATTAGGTTGTTCGGAAAGTAATTTCATTTTTTTTTACCATAGACTATTTTTTACCATTAGTTGTATTTTTTCCACCATTTTTATTCTAAACCATATTATCATTATATATTTTGACAGCTAGCATTTTAAGGCTTATTTGTAAAAAATTTTGTTTGATTTTGTGCAATTGTTTATTTTTTGTGTCCCATCAAATATGGAAGATCAAAAGCAGCATTTTTGGCATATTTTGCTCTTTTATTACCAAAAAGGTAAGAATACTGTTCAAGATAGAAAAAAATTGTGTGACGTGTATGGGGAAGATGTATTGACAGAACGACAGTGCCAAAACTGGTTTACAAAATTTCGTTCTGGCAATTTCAATATTGAAAATGCACCACGTTCTGGATGGCCAGTTGAAGCCAATGAAAACAAAATAAAGGTACTGATTGAAGCAAACTGCC